GTTCAGGACTCCATAGGGGACAGGAATCGCTCTTAATACTGTGTCTGAAGGCTTTACCTGGTTTTCGGGGATATGAGACTTCATTGCTGTCGTCAGTCTTGGCACATTGGCCTCAGAAAAAGTGATCAGGTCCCCATACTTTGTTGACTGTTGTAGATATATTTGAAGATTCCTGACCTTGGTCAGCTTGTGGTTGTGTGGGACAGGCTATCAGGACTCCTTTTCCCCAAAATGTAGCCCAGGGCCTGTGCTAATGTGCTTTTCCATACTCCTCCGACCCTCTTACACATCAACACCCTCCTCGATTCAAGCCAGCCTGTTGCCTGAGGCATCCTCCTACGCTTTCTGCTGCTGATATTCAGAGCTACCTCTGTAAATCGAACAGTTCCAAGGCACAGGCGCCTTCCTGTAATAGTGCACCCTGTTAAATTGTCAGCACAGTCTCTGGCAATTTTGGCCAAGGCCAACTAGCATGGACGTAGCCACATGGCATCAAGTGATGCCAGCTGGCCAAGGACAATGGCTGGTCACTGGTCTGCTTTGTTTGATGGCATAGACAGAGCCTCTGACTCCATAATCACACGTCTCGACATTTCTGCCTCAGTCCCTGCTGAGCAGCCTCTGTCATCCACATAAAGCATGTTTTTCCATAGCATTTAGGGTGTTTCGGTTATTTTTTACAGCAGGAGCCTCTCCTTTCCTCCCTCCTGGTGGCATCCCGGGGGTCTCTCCATAGGTTATTTGACCACATTTCTGGAGGCGATGGCTTTGGCTCCTTAAAAACACATGCTTTGGCGCAGGGACAGCAGTGACTTTGCCCCACGCAGTTTGTGTGCTACTGCGACAGACGTAGTAAATAAGCGTGAGGGTAATTATACCAACAGGAATTCTGGGAATCCTGCCAGAACGGAGGGGACAGCCAATCCTCTGTGCATTTAAAGAAAATCGCCCCGAATCCCCCTCCCAACCCCAAATTAGTTCTATCTCTTGAAGCCATGATGGGCCTCGGAACTAAAAATACATGCGTACACACAAATACACACGCTCGTATATAAAAATAGGCAGCATTCAAAAAATAAAAAGCCCTAAGTTAGGCTCCTGTATCCAAAATTAAGCTCTTAAATAAATAAATTAGCCTGATTTTCAAAAGCGCAGAGTGGTGAATGGCTTTCACCGACATAAGAGGAAGCATCGTGTTGCTAAAGATTGAAGATCAGGCCTGAATATGGATTTGAAAGTCTAATTATAGAATCCTGTTTGCTACCAGTTTGACCGAGAACAACAAATTTCAGGTGAAATGACATTGATTTTTTTTTTCTTCAGAGTTTGTCTACACTTATCCAGTGTTTGTAAAGGTAGGAAAAAGCCCTCGAACAAATAAATAAAATACCACAAAGAAGAAACAGAAATACTGGGATAAAACTGCTTACAGCAGCGCTGTACATTCGTGTTCGGTTATAGGATCAAGCATTACCAATATTACAGCTGGGTGAAATTTTATATTGATTAATTGGACAGTTATCTATTAGTTGTTGAAAGCTGACCAGGTAGAAACACTACTTTTCCCAGTTACTCTCTCTCTTACATTCTCTGCTGAAAACTCCCGATCAACTGGCATCAATGAGGAATGGGTTTTTACTTCTCCCTCTCTGCCAGATTTGGGTCTGAAGGATGCACCATATTTTTGCATGTTCATTTGGGAGGCTGTCGCTTTTTGCTGGACAAAATTATGCCAAGGGATTCCCGAGGTCACAGCCCCATATGGCAGTTGGGTAGAGACAGATTTGCCCCACTGGGACTCCTAGTACAGATCAGATTGGGCAGGATGGGTCTTTATGGTGTCAAGAAGGTCTGTCTACCCTGGGTGGAGAGC